CGAGCTGCTGCACTTCGACGAGATAGCGCACAACCGACTTGCCTTCCTCCTCTCCAACAGTCGAACTGACGATCGAGACCTTCGTTCGGTGTGGGACGAGGCGGTTGGCAGATTCTTGTTGCTCGTACTGTGTCTTTTGGAACTGCAGCTCTCTGAGCTCTCGTGCCATTGACGATTTCGCCTTCCTGAGGAGGCGGAGCTCCTGGGTGTCCCCCGTCAGCTCTGCCTTCTTGATGAGCGTATCGAGCATGGCGTCATGAGCCTCCAGCTTTAATATCTTGTCCCCAAGACGGGTGATCTCGTACGAAAGCTGAAGGTCGCCAGGTCCAGCTAGCTGGAACGAACCATGGCCGGTCGTGTCAACACTCTCCGTCCCATCCTCTTCTTCGTTTTCTTCGTCGGCATTGACGTCGTCTTCCTCGTCTCCGAACATCCCCCGCTGCTTTCTGCCACCGAAAATAGAAGAGCTGAGGCGATCTACCTCGTCCTCGCCACGATTGCGAGGCAGCTGAGAATGTTGATCTGTGGCGATGATATCTGTCAACGCGGCCTGGATAGCTTCCATCCGGTCTGAATCATCGATACTGGGTCTACCATCATCTGGGTCGTCGAAAAGGGGTGCTCGGGAAAATTCTGAAGAAATACCCGACAAAGGCGCCATAAGGACGTCGATGTTGCTGCGCGATACAGCAAGCGGAGTAGTGGCTATTGGGACCTCGGTGGAGCCAAATCGGGGGTATGATGTGGAATGCATGGTGACTGAGAGGGAAGGCAGAGACTCTGTGCGTGGTATATGTGATTTCGACAGGTGGGCGACTTCGCGAGGAACGGCAGGTGGTGGAGAAATGGACTGTGGCTTGTCTAGTGCCGTAGATGACCCAGACGCCCTGGCATTTCCCAGCGACGCATCCTCAACGACGCGGAACCACAGCTCAGATTTCTGGAAATCTTCAAAGTCCCCTTCCATGTCTTGTTCTACCTCCCTTTGGGTCAACATGACACTCCGGCGGACTTTCTTATTCTCGACGATGCTGGGCGTCACTTGATTAGATGCGTAGCTTCGTATGGTATCGATATGCTTGCGCGAGATGGAAGATAGGGAAGGGTGAGGAGGTGAAGCGGAGAAGTACAAGTCGTTGATCAAGCATATGTCCTCCCGGAGAGTGGTCGAGCTGGATGGATCTTGGATTGGGTCGTCTTCATCCCCAGAACTGGAGTCTACGGACTCCAAAGGATTCTTGAAACTCTCGACAGTGAGCCAGAACTGCACGAGCAATGATCGATGTCTGCGATCCATAAACTCCATGAAGTACGACAGGGACGTCGGGTTGCCAAGGACATCTCGGAAGGAGACCCTAGGCTTTGCACTGGTTTCGGGGGAGACGTTCATCTGCATGGGATAGATATCGTCAGGGACCATTTCTCATACGATTAAGTAGTCCATGCGAACCGGGTCCTGTTCACCACCAAGAACAACAATGCGCTGCTCAACGGTGCGCTTCGCGGTATACAGTCTATCGAGGAACGCAACGACATCCTCAGTCCGTTCCCCGTTGATCCAATCTTCTTTCTCGTGGTTTGCTGGCAGGGCGTCAGTCACTTGTTTTGGCTCAAACATGATGGCAATTACCTAGAAGCAACCTTGTCCTGCGGATTTCGCCCATAACATCATTCTTTAGCCGACGCGCGTCCAATAGAGAAGAACAACGGTTGATGCTTCGGAGGAAAGACTCAAACTGGCGTACGTCCGTACGAATCGTGATGGTGTCCCCTCCAGGAGTGACTGTTGACGGAATGCGATGGTGCCGTCGAGGGGACTGAGCTTCGAGGACATTTCTCACTTTAGAGATGAGTTTTCTGCGAACAATGTTACTTGTAAAGAACAATCGCCTAATTACCAGAAACAAAACGTACTGCTGGTGTATCGCAGCTCCTGCCTGAAGATTGTATTTGAACGAGCAACCAGCTGGGACTACAGCACACACGTACCACCTGCTCAATCGTCCGATTCCAAAAATCCGGATCGGCGACCATGTCCATGATGGGATAAAGTACCGCGCAGGTCACAATCTCTCGAACGACTATTCTGAGCGCCTTACTTTGAGCCTCTTTCTCCGGCAGGATTTGAGGAAGAATCCGATCTACTATTCCCCTGAGATGCATTTCTTCATTCTGTTTCGTGAATGTGGAGGACAGGTTGTCCACTGCGGGATGTAGTCTTCCACCTTTACCAGCATATCTACTGGCCAATAGCATGTCAAGCTCCTCCGACTGCGTCAGATGGCGCTCCAGTCCTGCACCTCGAAGGGCGACTTCGGATTGGCGGAACTGCTCGATGTGCGCAGTGACCTTTGGTAATATACGCTTGACAACGAGTGAGGATACGTCAACCATCGCTACACGCCGCAAGACTTCTTCGAGAGTGTCATGAAGGGTCGTAGAAACAGCCGTTGGGAACGAAGGAGAGGATGAGATACCCTTGTACCAGGACAAGACGAAGTCGCGAACGATGAATATCATGATTTCGTTTAGAGCGGAGGACACAACGGGCATGTCTGGAAATAGCGAGGGCAGTGACTGGGGTGATTTATGGGACCATTGTGAACGGATGAGTACAGCTTGCCACGCAGCAGGCGTAGAGAACGCAAGGGGTCGAGCTGCATGGGAGAGTGGGTTACCCCGGGCCACCTCCTTCGAATCAAGAGCATAGCCAAACGAGACATTAGCAAGGAAACACGATACCGCGACCAGGATGATGAGAAATGGTGCAAGGAGGAGAAGAGTGAGTGGAGACGAAACCACACGAATAACCATCGGCAGAGTCACTGCAAGAATACCGACAGCGAGCACCGTCCGAGCGCTGATCGTAGGGCGCCCTTCATGAAGGAAATCGGAGGGCTTCATCACGGCCGCGAGCTCGTCAAGTCATGTCCTAGCGAGAGCTGCGAGGCCTGGGGCAGGTTAGTGGACTAGTAGCAAATGGTAGTACTACCAACTTGGATTAGTAGCCGACACCAAGCTTGCTATACGTGAGAATATTTGACTATTCCTGAACTTCTTACACTTACTCGGCTTCGATCGAACAACCTGCACACAAGGGAACTCCGGAAGGACAAGAAGCACGCGAAGACATTTCGTCGGGAGCGGTACGGTTACGCAGACGAGTCTACCGAAGGCAACATTGAACAAAGTGAGTCGCCCGCACCTCTCGTAGATGTAGTATAACGCAAACATTCGCAACCACAACGTAACTCACAGTATGTAAGCCAGCCTTAGCCAGCCTGCAGTGCATCCGATTCGCTTCGGTCATTCATCCGACACGTGCATAAGCAGCATAATAATCCCTAGACCGCCTGCTTACTTCCTGTCATCCATTCTCCTTCACCATGACCTCTACGCAAGCGCCAATACGACCTCTCTCTACGGCCGAAGGTTTTTTGTGCGGTGGTCTAGCTGCATGTATGGCGGTGAGCAGCGTTTTTTTTCGTTCCAGGATCCTTTTCTGAGGCCAAGGGTCAGGTGACTGTGTCCAATCCCGCCGAGGTAGCAAAGACGCGTATGCAGCTTCAAGGTGAGCTTGCAAAGGGCGGCGGTCAAAAGGTCTACAAGAACGCCCTCGACGTTTTGGCCAAGACGTGGAGGAATGAAGGCATCCGTGGTCTGCAAAGAGGTCTCGGCCCAGCTGTATGTCTCGCTATTTACGCGCTCCAGAATCCATCTAACTTGCCCCCAGTATGCATACCAGGCAAGGATTGCTCTGTGCACGTTAGAAATGTAGAATAACCATTTCCCCAGATTCTCTTAAACGGGTCGCGTTTAGGTGGGTCACTCCGACACCTTGCACCCCCCAAACAACTAACAATGTGATTCAGGATTTTATGAACCCTTCCGGCGTGCTATAAACCGCGCCATAGGCAGACCTATAACTGATCAGATCCCATTGACGTCTATAATGGCCGGTGCCGTCAGCGGTGCTGTTGGTGCATCCCTCGGGAATCCACTGTTCCTCATCAAGGCACGGATGCAGGTGACGCCGACCCTCAATTGGCATTACAGGCAGATACTGATGACTTTGCAGGCATATTCCCCAGCGCTACCAGTCGGTACACAACATCACTACAAGAGCTCTTTTAATGCTCTCTCGACGATATTCAGAGCGGAAGGGTTCCGTGGTCTCGTTCGTGGTATAGATGCTGCCATTCTCCGAACCGCAATGGGATCCTCTGTGCAGCTACCGACGTACAACTGGACCAAGAACCAGCTTGTTACCAATGGTATACTTCCTGCTAACAGCTTGTTCACATATCTTGCGAGTAGTTCGGTATCGGGTGTTTGTGTGGTACGCCGGCACCATGTTTGATGTAATCCTCTGTCTTGACGCCAAGTCCAGTGTATAGTGATGCAACCAGCGGATACGGTAAACATGTTGTCCCCTTTCATTGCTTACCTGCGTTGACCTCTTGCAGGCCCTCACGAGAGTATACAATCAGCCAACAATACGGCTACCAGATGGTCGTCTGAAGGGCACGTTATACAAGAACCCCATCGATTGTCTCTGGAAGACATTCAAGGCGGAAGGAGTATTCGGGTGGTACAAAGGTAATTCAATTCGAGATGCTGCTCAAGTTATCAAGCTAACGTCCGGTGGAACAGGTTCGACGGCACACTTCCTCCGAATTGCTCCTCATACGTGAGTGAGCTGAGACGAGATACCCAGCCCCTACTAACGGCAGTCTCGGAACAGGATTATCACTCTGACTGCAAACGACATCATCCTAAGTCTTTACAGGCAGCATGTGGCCAAGAGATGGCCATAGCCTTGGCGAGGAGTCGAGGACATGTGTAGCTGTTCGCTCTTGTTTCACAGTACATAGATGGTGTATGGGTTAGCTTTGTATTGGCATACCTTCAGTAAATTGTGGGACTTGAGAGCAAAAGCATTTCGCCGAATTGACTTCAGTAGGTAGACAATCCCCAAGCAGCCAAAACAAAAAAAAAAGTGAACCCGACCCGGATTGAACGGATGACCTTGTGGAAACACGATTACATAATTGCTTACGTAAGGCCGGCTGGCTGGAATCACACGCGCTACCACTGCGCCACGGGTTCATGTTTTAATATCCTCTCGTGTAAATTATAGTGATTCCGCTCCTGGTTATACCCATTGACCATGCCCCTGCGGGGCCTAGTCAATGGGTATAACCGGTCACTCCTTCTTTGCGTAGGTGGGGACCATCCAGTATTTCCAAGACACCACCTGTATGTGGCTGTTGTGAGAGTACCTAGGTGCCGACGCGCCGTCGACTGTTTGCCGATCAGGGGTATAGCAAGTATGTTTCTCCACCTTGCCATCCAAAGTTCCAGACACATATACGGCTGTCGTAGTCGCAGGAAATATTATTTACATCTTGGTCGTGTCCCCTTACATGTTGGCGACTCGTCGCAACCTGGGGAATGTGGCGGGAGTTCGTGGCGCAGTGGTAGCGCGTTAACGGCGCTGGCCACTGGCACGCGTTCCTGCCACCCTGCCAGCGTGAACCACAACGTTTCTCGACTCGTTGCATGCGGGGACCAGCCAAGGAATATAGCTAGCCATTCCTTCTCAGCCTAGCTCAAAGCGAGTCCAAGTGGTTGTTATAACCGAAGGATACTGAGTTCAACTTCAAGCTCAAACGCGATTTGTTTGTTTTGAATCAGTACCGCCTTGCTCCTTCGCGCCACTCGAAGTTTAGACGATTCAACTCGTAGCACTCTGCAAAATGTTCAACCTGGCCAAGGGGCCTCCCCGAATGGCCGCCCCCGATTACATGGGGTTTTGCGGAAGGAAACCCATGACGCAGTGGTAGCGCATGTGGGAATCGAAACCTATGGCGTAGTGGCAGCGCGTCGGGACTACCTGCGCCAGGGGTTTTCTACGGGACTTACGCCTGTGCATAGCATTCCCAGCTTATCCTCCGCGGAACTCATACATTTAATATCCTACAAATAAAATGACAGGAATAAGTTAGCGTAATCGTGTCCATTTAGAATTCTTCCTCGTGCTCAAGTACACCTCCGAATCAGGGGAACGATCCATCCATGCAGACTGTTGCGTGGGGACCAAATTTGTTACCTAAGGAGTTGTTGAGCTGTGCGTTCGTCGAGGATAACTAAAATGCTCACTAGAAATCGTTGACCGGGCTCAAAGGACCCTCCGGATGAACCCTCGGTCACGGACAGCCCAAGGACGTCCCAGACTGTCACTTGTGCCTTCCGCGTCGAAGGATGCTTGTGTGTCCGAGCATCTTTAACAAGAAGTACGCAAAAGTCCCTCACATCGCGAGCAGGACAAACGGACTGTTCAAGAGGTTAGTAAACGGCGGACTATCCCGGTGATAGAAAAGCACCTCAAGCTCTTGGTCAATCTCCCTCTCAACGCCCTCCCGCTCCTGAACTGCCTTGTCCCGAATATGTCGAGCTAACCACCCTGCGTCTTGGCTGCTGATCGACGATATAATTCTCTTCACCGCCGCCGGGTCTTCTTCAATCTCATCGTACATATCATCGATGCTGTCCGGAGGTCCGTCTGCTCTTGGTGTTCAACGTGACATTTCCAACACTCGGGCATACTCCTCACCATCATGCTGTGGGTTGAACTTCGAACCTGCGCGCTGCTCGAGACGCTCCGCATAGTCTGCCATCCTGCTGCGGCGTTTCTCATAATCGGCCCACAGCTTTGATGCCTCGGACTCTCGCTTCGCCTATAGAAGATGAGTGAGCGAAAATCGTAATCAGGGTCGTCGTACCTTCCACTGCGTGACCAATTTAGCCTCGTCTTTCGCTGCACGCGGTCCCTCCCGTCTTTTACGTCCACTCTCATCCTCTACGAACTCGATATACGCAACTGGGTATGCCTGCACTACCATTAGGTCATGCCTTCTCAAGGAGGACTTGAGCGCACCTTTATCACCTCGAACATCATGACAGCGACGTTACCTCCATCTGCTGTCAAACTATTGAGCGTCGCGACAAACGGTCCTTTTTGAAAGCCTAGTTTGGCGTGCCATGGCGCTATGTGAGAGGAATTGCCGGACAAGACGAGGACGTTCGAGTCATAGGCTTCGAGGATTTCAGAACCTTCTTTCCGTTCCGCAGAGAGCTGTGCAGCGCAAATGTTAGCCAAACACCGAGCTCTGAAGGCATTTCGGCGTACCTTGGCACCAGCGACAGCGATCTTCCGTCCGATTTTTATTTTGCCCTTGCGGATAGCTCGCCCAAGAGGTGCGTCTATACGTGCACGTAACCTATACCACCCATCTGTGACTTCGAGCTCTGGATGTGCTGGGACGGGAACATCGTTGTCATCCAAACCACCAGCGGACCATTTGATATCAGAGACACAAAGCACCATCGAGGATTCAGCTGGTGCGTCTCTGGTGGTGATCAACCGTAACGGGGGTCGCGAGGAGCCGTTCAGGTCGCGCTCATATCTGAGGAACAACGTTAGCGACACGATTGTCTCGGGATTGGTAAGTGTGTGGGGAACAACGGACCTGTACATCAGCTGGCGAATGAGCTCGGGCCAACACCACCTCTTCGTAGTAGGATCGTTTTCACTCGCGGGATCAAGAGCGACCATTCCAGCCAGCTTCCACAACACCAGTGGCCAGTGATTTTCAACCCACGCCTTCGTAGCGAGCGGACACCCCTTTTGGTGCAACTCCTCCAAGGCAGCTCCGTGACCCAAGGCGAGAGGCGGTTCTGATTCAGATGGATCGGGCGGGGAACGTAACCGCGTGCTGAATGCATAGAAGAGAGCCGTGCGAGGGTTGATTTGGCTCAGTTCCTGGACATTTCTGAACGGATGTCAGCGTACAGAAAAGGGGGGAAATGGGGAGAAAAGATGAAGACACGAACATTCCCATGTCTTCGAGTTCATTGACGCTATGCGACTGTGGCTGCAAGCCAGAGGAGACGAGGGTCTGTCGTCCGCCAGGACGAGCTGATAAACAAATGAGCTGACAGACATGATCGACGCAATTTGTGACGTACTGAGATCAAAGACACTGCCTCCTCGCTTCTCTTTCAGCTTGCTAGGTCGGGGCGATTGTGGGTAAACACGGTTTGCGACGACACCCTGACGGAGAGGAGTCGGCGTAGGTTTTGTAAACCCGAGTGTGGATGGACCAGGATCGCTGGGTTTGATCCCGCCTTTAAACGGCGTCACAAACTTCGGTCTCATAGCGGCACCGCTGTACCTAGGAGTAAAGCCCAAAGGCTTCTGAGACATCGCCTGATTCGCAGCAGACGATGGACGTAGTGGAGATACTGGTCCAGGCGTCGAGGGGACCTGAGATGAAGCAGGAGCGAAAGATTGGTGGACACGGAGAGGCGAGCTGACATTTGCAGTGGTAGTCCGCAGAGTCGGGTGAGCTTGCGCAGCAGCAATCAAAGGTGATTTGAATGGCTTCAGCGGCCGTTTGCCACCGAGGCTCTGAAAGGACGGACGTATACTACTAGGTGGTGGCTCCGCATTTGCTGACTTGAAGTGTGGTGCGGGCGTCGGGGTTTCAGGAACGCGTGGGGGCGAAGATGATTTCTTTGCCGTTGTGAACGCGTGTCGTGGAGGAGACGATAGCTGAGTGGTGAGGGAAGAAGTAGGCTCCTTGGGCGTAGGTTGTGGGCTCGAATGGCGTTCGTCTTCTTGCCACATCTTCATCTTCTCTTCAGCCTTCCGAAGAGCAGTAGCCGAGGGAAGGATGAAGCCTTTCGGTTTCGACACATCGAGTGAGGGTCTCTGGAAAACGGGCAAAGCGTCACAATCCGGTAATGCAGTCGCTGCAGTTTTAAAGCTAGCAAATGTGTTTGTGGACTCTGAATTAAACCACGCAGTGTAGTCGAATTCTGGCGGCGCTTCTTCAAGTAGATCGCTTTCATCTTCCGTGGTATCATTTATAGGGAAAGAGGCCCTTGCTTTGCCGTTTATTGCAGCAGCGCTCATAAACGAAGCATGTATGCGCTCTCTTGGGAGAGCGTCAATACTCGTTGCTCCTCTGGGAGTAGAGCAAAACGGATTTTCGCCTTCGTCCATAGCAGGCTCTTGTGCTAGAGTTGAACCTGAACTCGGAGATGTCTTAGGACTGTGACGCTCTTTGCTTGGTCCTGCAACCGAAATCTGCCTGACAAGGCTTGAAGCAGGGGCGGCTTGAGACAGTTGGGCATTCAGAAGATCAAAAGCATTGATATCTTCCTCGTTCAAGTCTCCGATCTGGTCGTCAAAAGTCGGTGACGACAGCCTCATCCTCTTGCGAGGGGGCGAAGGTGAATCTGAGTGACCAGTGTGAGATAAGGGTCAGGCTGACAGATAGTATTCAACTCAGACCTTGTCGTGAGTCCATGCGTAGTTGGTGGAGGTACCCTTCAGCGTTACTGGTAGCGTTTATGCCTGGAGGACTCCTAGTGCTGAGGGAGAATATTACAGGCGATGTGATGATCGGGTGCAGGAGACGGAATTTGAAATCACGTCAGCGCGACGCGCGCTCATCACATGACTTCTTTTGCTTACTAATCATCCACATCTCCGAAAGATTTTGGTGTATACTGCTACCTTTCGCCCAAGTACCTGTTCTACCTGTTCGTTTGGCGATTCATTCCTTAGCTCCAGCTTTTCCAATGCATGAAATCGTGTTAATAGAGCTCTTAAATCCGCAGCTCCGTTTGCACTGCGCACTATGAGACTGAAGCCGGCTGGTACTGAATCAAGTACACTTTTTGAGTCTATGCGACATCATCCTCCCTCGAAATCAAGAAAAATGGGTGCATCTCTTACTCTCAGAATCGGGCAATTGACTCCGTGGAATCGTCTCTCCTCGAGTGTGCTGCTCGCGTTCCCTTTGCTGCCATCGGCCTGGGATAGCGTGGTGATCTGAGGGGAACCTTCCTGCTTTTGTTGCGATCGCTCTCAAGCTCGAAATTATCGGGCATGACAAACTCAATCAGATCTTGACTCTGATTGACCCTTCCATCCGGCGCTTTATTCCAGAGACGTCTCGAGATGGTTCTTGCGATCTGCCTGGAACTTTGTCGATATGAAATTCACCGAAATCTCTCCCGGTAGTGCCAATCTTCAC